ATACTTTCCCAAACTTACGACTCTTTCATTGTAACCATTTCCAAGTTGGATCTAGAAGCTGTAAAAAAAAAAACTTTTAAAATAATTTATGATAGTTTTTAAAATTAGAATTATCTGCACAGAGAGCGCTGCTGACCACATACAAACATTATTGATGGACCAAACGGCTCTATTCTTTATCAACAATTTTAGTTTGGAAATAGGGACATTAAAAATCACATACTTAAGACAGGTACAGTACAAACTCACATGTAAAAGACCATAGGACCATGTAAACAATGAGAGTTAACAGATTTATGCAATAACATTCTTGAAATGACGGGACAAGGCTCACTTACTTCAGCACCTAATGTCACAAATATATAACATACCATTGAATTCATTTTTCCATTTCTATAAACTATTTGGAAATTCTTTTGACAGCCATTTACACTTTATAAGGCTTGGAAAACATACAGTACTTGCTGAACTATAAGGCACACCTGTATATAAACCGCACTAGCTACATTTTTAGGGTACGTCAATTTTGTCCACTTAAAAGGCCAATATAGTCGCAGTTGTTCGTGTTGTAATGTAACACTTGACCAACAGCAGATGACGCTAAACAACGCACTGTTATTTTTGTTTTTTTCACAATAACAGTGCTAAAACTTGGTTGGAGTCCAAATAATAAGTCCATAAACTGCCCCGACAACAGCCCTAATCACATATTCAGCACTTCCTCGTCTGTCTGCTGTTCACATAAACACACTGAAGCAGGAATGTGTCATCAGCTCTGGAGATCAACAGCTGTGTACCTGCACCTTTACAGTCCAGCAAGTACTGTTCTTATTTTGTTGTTTTGTTTTGTCTTTTTGAGCTCGTTTCAAATCTATTTCAGGGTCAAAACATTTCCCCAGCAATAAATTACAACAAATATACGACATGTAATCCCCCTATCTGTTTTCATGTCTTTTTTTTAAATATCTGGGCAACAGTAACTTGTGATGACAACGAGAAAAATATAGTCTATGGAACAAATGAATGAGCTTTTATCAAGTCTGAATTTCAGCGTGTAACAAACGGAGATGTGTGCGTAGACCACTGTTAAACACTGTTAAAAGTATCTCGAACAACCGTAGCAAAAACTTCAAGACGACAGCGTTATCACTATTTAGAAAACTAGTTTTGCTAATACAATACTGGAGAGAGTACAGTGCAGAAGACAAGGCTTGAATATTGATGGTAACATACATTCACGTTGTATTTTTACAGCACAGTGCAAACATTTACACAGATTTGAAAAAGGCCGTTAAACTAATGGAGTATTTTTATTTTTGATTTACAAATACCAGCATGTCCATTATGATGCTAACTGAAGAAGGAAATGCCATGGGACAATATCCTGCATGGGTTTTTGTCTTTTTTGACCATTGTTTTTGATGTTTCTCAAATTAGTAAATACACAAAAAAATTGGAAAGTCATTGAACTCTAAAAAAAAGCTCAAAATTGATCTGTTGAGTCTGATTAATTATGATAAATCAGACTTAAAACACATTACAATGCATCTAAATGGGTCCACATAGGAAAATAAAAAGAAGGAAAAAAAAACCCCAGCAATAATTAAACTATTTTGTCTTCTCAGTAGATAGAATTGTAAAAAAACTGCTGTTATTAGCTTAAATATGGCTAAATGATGGAGAAATCTGATGCATCGGGTGAAATGTGGTTGGGATAAAATTGTGTGTCTGCTTCATCCAACCCCTTTTTAAACCTGTATTAGTGTGAATAAATCTAAACTTATTAGGAATTATGGTACAATATTACCACAATAATAATTTCCCTAGATAGTTTAATTCATTAACCGAAATATTATGAGGCGGCTAATAACAGACTGGTTGCCTCATTTCTGTCAGTGTGTGCCAGGGCAGCTGTGGCTACAGTAGTGGTTCATCCCCACCGTGCATAGAGTGAATGAATAATGCCTTGTGAGCCATTTGAGAGTAAAAAAAAATAAAAACATGTATAAAACTGAAGCATTATTATGAAGTTCCTATAGCAAAAAAAATATTTGTGTGACAGACTTATTTTCTTTGCAAATGGTTTAAAATACAGTTTGCGTCTTGGTCTTTTTCTTTTGTAAATCTCAGTCTTTTCACGGCCTTTAAAACCCAAAACATTTGCACTGCACTTATGCCAAACTGCACGTCATGATTACAGCAGCTAAATACTGACCACATCTGCATGCCCTCCGTCACGTCGTAAAAAGGACATTTTCGATTAGATTTCGCGTTACACTTTTTGACCACGGTACACGCACACACACACACACACACACACACACACACACATACAATTGTCGCACGTCACTAAACATCTCACAACAGCCTAGATTAGGTCCAGAAAAATAAAATAAAGGAAAGTAACCGCTGCCTTTTAAAACACACCATGGCAGCTTGAAGATTGACTTTGTGCTTTATTGCAAATTTAAGAAGCGGGACTAAATATACAAAACATATCTATTCACTACAGCTTGGTAATGCATTGTTTTAGTTCCATTGTTGTTATTCCTTGCATAATTTTGATCTGTCTGTCTGGAAATATATTGAAACCGGCCACAAACACACAGTATTGTAAGTGCATAGCAAATTATATTATTACAAAGATCGGCCATAACATTATGACCACAGAGATGCGATGTTGGAAATGTGAAACGTGATAGTTTGCATTTCATTTGCTCGTTCGTGTTGTAACTACACAAAACTGCCAGTCGAATTGGGTTAATCTGCCTTTAAGCAAATTTTTCTTGTCTTACATCAAAAATAGAAGGCACACAGTGTGGCCTGAAAACACAGACTGTATACAGACGGACAATGCTGACCTTCGAGCTCAATGAAGCCCCATAGGGAAGTGCTCATAGACAAAGTTTTGCCCCAACTCGCTCTGGCTCCTATTGACTTACATTGAAACGTAAACTTCTCTAGCTCAGTGTCACATTCACCATTTTGGGCTAAATCAAAACACGGTTTATCTCTCTTTGATCTTGGTGTTGATATTGTTTTAAATCGTTTTTGTAAATTCAGATATGAGTCATATTAGGATTAGCAATTAAATGCCAAAACCGTTTGAACAATTGTCCTTACAGGGCTCCAGCTAGCTTATGTTCAAAGCCGCTTCTTCCGCATTGGTTATAAAGTAATTGTAAATCCAGATACGAGCCCGAAACAGCTGACCAATAGGAGCCTTCTGTCACCAAATGTGGCTTTAGCTAGCGATTAGCGCAAGCGAGGACTGGTGTAGTACCTACCAACAAAATTTGCATTAATTCCCGCTCAAATAGTCTTTTCTAGCTAGCTCTAACCGGCCTTTTCCGCATTACGGCGAACACTATGGGGGACGCCAGCACTCGGTCGGCCCACTCTGATACCAACATGAAAATATGCACATTTTCTAATTCATTTCACCTCTTAAATGTCACAATGTTATGGTCAATCTTCTCAGTATAGACTTAGAAAAATAAAAGTATCACCTTCCCTTCGCCTGAAATCACAGACAGCTAATAAACGTAACCAAAACACATCATTTTGTGCCCGTTACAGCGTCTTATTCTTTTAGTTCATCGATTTGTTAGAGTTCAGTAGTGGAAGCCCTTGAAATGAAACCAAACCAGAGCAGACGTTTGCCCGCCTGACCTGGGAGACATGCTGGCGTGTCTTTTTTTTAAGCACTGTAAAAACATGCGCACACTTTTTTTTTTTTTTTTTTTAAGTTTGTGTTTTGTGGCGCGAGGGCGATTCAATGGCGAATCCATGCAAGAACGAACGGACGACTTTTGAGGTCGAAAAAGTCCAGAATTCAGGGAAGGGGCCGAAAAACCAGTGATTTAGTTGCATGCAGTTTCATCCCGTTGCGTTAAATGGCAGTTTGTTTTTCAATTTGTGCTGTGAGCCCCTTGGAAAACACTCACGCTGCGCACAAACAAGTGAAGAAAAGCCTGAATTAAGTTATTTTCTTGATTCTAGTATATTTTGACTGTTTAAAGCAAAGGTCCACTATATAATGAGCAATAATAATGAGCTAACCCTGACCCTATGACACCTGTGCCCCTTTACAACTCCTTCGACCAAAAAATACCGCACAATGCTGCCTAATCGTCACTGCATCATAGATTTAGAACAGAATTTAAGTAAAGTAAATATAAACTGGTCTCAGTGGTAGTGGTCAGAATAACCACAGGGACTAAAACATGAATGATTTGAATTTTATTTCCGCTTTAATCAAATAACTTGCCAACTGAATACGTTTTCTCGTAGTTCAAGTTTAGCAGTACATCTTCCCTCATTTTAAGCTGGTTTTAAAGCTGGGCTACCTAATTTTCAGATGTACTAAAATCCATCACACTAGTTTCTCTCAAACTGTTTTTTCACCTGCATGTTTTTGTGTTTTTTTTTTTAAACTTTAAATCAGTTTTTTTCACGGATAATAAAAGTGAAAAGGCGAGGACCATCTTCATTCAGCCAATCAGCTCTCAGCCCAAAGCATTAGTGACTCCCAGGGCTCTTTCTTTCAAGTTTTGCAAAAGATAAGGAGTTTTTTCATGAGATACAGTGTGCTCTTTTTGTTAGGACAAACAAAAACGTCTCATAAAATAAAGCTTAGCACCCCAGCTTTAAATTGTTAAGCATACAGTGTCTTGCTTTAGCTGTTCCGCTGGCAAACCTGTATCTGTATGTAAAGACGGTGAAAATATCCTCAAATAAAGATAAAATATGACAAACTTCAAGCTTTTACCCACTTGTCTGCAGCGCATATACACACTGTACATTCACGATTGCATGCAGCCGCCACACACACACACACACACACACAAACATACACTCACAATACGCCATACATCCACCAGGGGGCGATAAAGTGACAGTAGTTACAGCCCTGCACTGCTCTTCCTCTGCAGGACGAAAGCAGCAGTGGGGGCGGAGGACGGGGTTCTGTGGTCACGGTGGGGTCTCCGCGGCGAACCCTACAAGGACGGTTTGCTGTAGCCGAAAAGTCCCACCGGTAAATATTTGACATGGGTCGGCCACTGCGCCGCCAGCTGGAAGAACTTGACTTCGTTCCACTCCATGCCGTCTATAGACACTGAGGAAAGAGAAGCGTTTCATTCCAAAAGATGAATAATCCTGAGCATACAAGAGAGAATGTACACAAATCTGGGAATAGTAGAGAGACAGGTAACTACAGGTTTTCTACACCAGGTAATAACAAAGAGGTGAAACTCTGGACATTAGAAAATCGTTCATAAGTCCACTATTTCTCAACTTACAATGCAAAACTAATATATGACACATTACACGCAAAGTGAGATATCTTAATCCTGTATTTGTTTTAATGTTGATAATTGGCTCACAGCAAAAACCTCAAATAAAACTGTGTGTGTGTGTGTTATAATTATTAGTGTTTTTATTCAGGTAGATTTAATCATGCTTTTAGATCATTTATGACAATTCATAAAATATTTAAAGATGGCATAGCTTGTGTCTGCCATCTATTGCGACACCTATAAACACTTTGAAAATAAGAAATACAAAAAAGTAACAGCATTTAACCCGAATCCTGGGCATAGCTCGGAAAGGGTTAACTGGATTCATTTTCGTCAATTGTTTTTTATCAGTGGATTCAACGCTTAAATTGTGCCTAAAAATAAAATAGATAGAATAAATTAATTAATAAAAAATCAATAAAATCAACAAAATAGAATAAAATATATAGAATGAATAAAATAAATATACTAAATAGTGACAGTAGTTTACCTTTTAGGATGGTCTGTTGCTGTTTGGCAGAGCAGATGAGGCGACTGATGCCCTCGATGACCTGACTTTTGGAATCCACGTCCTTTTCCTTTGGCTTCTTACCCAGAAAGATGGTGGGAACTGAGCAGAGAAAATGCATAAACCGTGAAATACAGTTTTCCGTTGATTTCAATTTATTTGAGACAATTTCATAGCAGGTAAGTCCCTTGATAAAACATTTCCCAAATATTGTACGGTATTTCCTCACCTTTCTTGTTCTTCTCCTTGGTCACCACCGTCATGGCCATGGTGCTGACCTGTGTCTGTGTGTCTGTGCTGCCCCCTCCTGGGAGCCGGCTGACCTGCAGTGATCGGAAATCACTCTTCAGCGTGTTTTTGCAGCCCGTGTCCCTGCGCTCGCCCTCTTTACGCTTCTCGGCCAAAGACGCCAGCCAGTAGTCCACCTGGAGCCCGATGGCATCCACGCTGTGAGACATGCTCGGGCTGCTGTCAGGACCACAACACAACAAGGGTTAAAACTAAAAAAGTAAACAGATTTCAAACCCATTTCGAGACACCTACATACAGTTCTATAGTCAAAGAGGACTAGTCCAGCTCACTGTTATGTTCCACAAAGAGGTTTTATATTAATAATGCATAGTACTTATATATAAGAAAGGAAGAACAGAGTGAGAGAGACACAGAGACAGAAAGAGACCGAGAGAGGCAGAGATACAGAGAGAGAGAGAGAGACAGACAGAGAGAGACAGAGCAAGACAGAGACAGTCAGAGAGAAACAGAGAGGCAGAGAGAAAGAAAAACAGACAGTGAGAAGAGAGGCAGAGAGAAAGAGAGAGAGACACACAGAGAGAGAGTTAGAGTCAGAGAAGGAGAAACGGAGTGAGACAGAGAGTCAGAAAAAGAGACAGAGGAGGAGAGGAAGGCAGAGAGAAAGAGAGAGAGTGTTAGAGAGAGTCAGAGAAGGAGAAACGGAGAGAGACAGAGAGTCAGAAAAAGAGACAGAGAGTGGAGGAGAGAGAGGCAGAGATAAAGAGAGAGAGACACACAGAGAGAGAGAGAGAGTCAGAGAAGGAGAAACAGAGAGAGACAGAGAGAGTCAGAAATCGAGAGATCGAGAGAGGCAAAGACGGAGGCAGAGAAAAAGAGAGACAGCGAAAGTTAGTCAGAAATCGAGAGATCGGCAGAGAGAGAGAGAGAGAGAGAGAGACAGCAATGTGGGTAAAGTGTCTTGCCTAAGGATACATCAACAGTTTACCCCACTGTGCCACCTGCTTTTAATGCATTACTATATACTATATATTTGTCTATGTCAGTAACTACAGTTCCAGAGTACAGAATGGTTGATAGGTGTAGTATGAACCCCTTACCCCTGCACCGTGAGCGCGCTGCCCATAGAGGGAGAGGAGGGGGGCGTGGCTGCCTCTTTGATCATCCCGGTGGGAGAGCCGTGCGACGGGGGGGATGTGGACGGAACAGCCAAACTCACGGCGACTCCCTCCTCTGTGTCTCCTGCACAAACACAGAGCAATAGTAAAACAATCACTGCACATTCATTTGTTTCTGAGACGGAGTTGGCGTTGGCTAACCTAGTATCAGCTCATGCAGATTAAATATTTTTAGCAGAAAGAGCCAGAAATACATACAACAAAACACATTTAACTAACATAAAACATAAAAAAGGCTTCCTTCTTAATCGGTTTCTGACGTCTGTGCTTCATAGTGATAACCCCAGAGATCTTTATAATACTAATCTATTCTAATCTATTCCTTTTTTCCCAATTTCATCCCCTTAATTAGTTTCTTCCTGGGTCGCTGATGGTAGCAATCAGTAGCCTGACCAGAACCAAACGATTATCGTGTGTCACATGGTTCTGGCCCGGTCAGGAGGGAATTTCAGAGCTGCCATAATCTTCATGATCCTCCTGCATGTGCTGAGGGTTCTGTCAGAGTGGGATTAAGTGTTTTGCCCAGGGACACAACAGCGGCAGAAGGAGCAGGTGACATCTAATCTAATCTAATACCGTGTAAGATTTGTCCCTTTGTATGTGCAATTACAACACAGTGCCTACATAGCAGCAGATCAGTCTAGTCCGCAGTGCAACAAACCCGATATCTGAGTATCACTAAGTAACCGAGGTTCATTTGGGACTAATTATTCTTTGTTTGTGGATATGGGAAAGCATGAAACTCTTCTTGAACGTCACTTCTTAAAATAGACGTTATGAAGTGATGCAGCTGAGGTCCAGTCCCTAAGTAAGCAGCTGGAAATTACAGAAGAGCTTTCACTGCAAAAACTGATTAAATATGAGATAATAAAACCTCAATATTTGGATTTTATCTTAATTTTTCAAGTACATTCTGTCTTTAAACAAGATTTCCCAATGGGGCAAAACCGTTTAGATAGATAGATACTTCATAGATCCTGTAGGAGAAATTCATGTGTCCAGTAGCAGCAAAAACACATCCATCCGTACAAACAAAACCAATACATTGATCATTTAATCATAATTTAGTCTTTTTTTTAAATAAATATTGCTTTATTTTTATCATTCCAACAGAGATATTTCTTGTATCTATTTAAAACAAGATATATTTGCCTGTCCAATCAGCATATCTCGTTATAAGGCAGACAGAATGGGCTCCAATTAAAATGCATGTTGCAAAATTTCAGCATTTCTTTTGCTTATTTTTCTGGTCAAACATGAATTCAACTGGATCAGTAAAACAATCAGACTGAATGTAGATATTGCATGTGTCGTGTCCTTTAAAATCTGTACACATCTAAATCAAACATGCGATACAGACCCGTTGGCGACGATCCCGATTCGATCAGTCCAACTTTCACCACCTACGGCGAGAGTAAGGAAAAACTGAGCCACTTAGAATTGAGTTATGACAAAAGCGCTCTTATTATGACGTTTTTACCCCAATGAAAGGAATAAACTTGTGGTAGGAGTCTTCTTCTCGTCTAATGGGGAAAAAAAAACACGCATTAGTTTGATCGTGTGGCTGTGGTTGTCGCAGATGTGTTTTTCTTGTGGCTTCGCTCACGTCCGGTGTTTGCAGGTCAGCATGGCCTCAGCGATCGGCAACTGATGCGTCACGGTGGCTCCGCTGATGTACTGAGCTATTCTCCCCGCGACGTCCAACTGGTCTGCACAAAGCAACGGATACAATTAGGAGAAGAAAAACAAGGAGTGACAGCTCAAAGACGGTGCAGCGGTGCATTCAGTTATTACAAATCTAGATGTAGTAGAAGTAGTGAGAATAGAAGAAGACACAAAACCAAAACAAGACAAAAAATGGATGAGTACTATTTGTATGAGTACTATTTTTACTGCATGTTTTTAATGTTTTTAATCATGGTCTGTGAAAGGCGCTAGATAAATAAACTTTACTTAGTTACTTAATTAAAATAAAACAAAATAAACCACTTGAAAACGAGGTTGGACGAAGAAATTTCTTACTATGGAAGAAATACTTACTTTTCTAATTCTACTATAAGAATTAAAAGCTAAAGTAAATGTTTTCACCATATGTTCAGAATACTTTTAAAAGCATCACCGTTTAAAATTGAAATGAGACTAGTGTACTTTGACTCATATTTTAGGATTTGACAACCCTAAAAATGCTTTGCGCCTGTAACTCCTTATTGTACCACTAGAGGGAGGTGTAGATTTTTCTTTTTTTTTGAAAATGTGAAAAATACCAGCTGCAAACACAGCCACGTGATTGTAACTAGCGAGAAATGAACAAAACGAAAGTATGAGTAATGTTTGGTCTGCTCTGAGTGTGACGTCATAGTGCTACAATGACATCACACTGTTACAGGACTGAGCCAGGAGCTTTCAGACAGAAGGGGCGGAGTTACACGTTCGTAGCAGACATTCTTGATATTAACATGGATGGATTAGAAAAATAAAAACAACTCCAGGTCTGTTATTGAAGAGGAACAATGTTGTGACGTGGTTATAATCCCAAGTGAGAAAAAGACTAATTTGTCCTTTAAAACAGTCTTGTACCGTTCTGCGGCGGCTCCGTGCGGCTGAACACGTCTCTCCAGGGTCCGTCCAGGAACGCCGAGCTGTAGCGGTTGTCCAGAACTCCGAGATGCTTCGCGATCGGATGTGACCCTGGAAATGTTTGAGCAAATGATTAACAGCACTGCAATAATCCTTAAATCCTATCTTTTCTCTATAAAGACACAGCCAAATTTCATTCGTTCATTTCTCCCGAGCTTTTAGTCAAATAAGTTCTACAAAAGTATAGGGATGTTTTAGTGTTTTAAAGGCAATGCTTAAAATGCCTCTTATGCATTTTTATATATAGACAATTATTCAACAACAATGCATTTTCCTTTTTGTTTTTTTCTGCTTATAGTTTTACTTAAGTATCAGGATGGTTGCAGTACTTTTACTTCAGTTCACAATTTGTCCTAGTATCTATAACTTTCCTTCAAATTAATGTCATTTACTTTTGTATTTTAATGTGTGAGAGAATTATTTCCAAAGCAAGCTCCGGTTAGACCCGCCCATTCTCACCCCCGCTGCTTCCTAATTGGACAGAATACATTCAAATCCTTGATACGTAAACGAGGGCCTTTGCCATTGGCCCAACTGTTCTCCTTCAGCAGATCTCATTGGTGGTGGTGATGTCACGGGGCGGGACTGTATAAAATATTGTTTAAGAAAAATACTTTGTGATACTACAGGGTCATATGGCCTGTAGTAACGGAGACTAGTATTTTTGACACCTCTGCCACTATCTATTTTTGACGACTGCTGTTGTGAACACATCATTTGATTTTAGTTACATATGAAAGAATATTAGTAAAAACATTTGTGCAATTATGTTTGAAGTAAAAGTTTGAAGTAACCAAAGCTTTTCAGATACAAGTAAGTTTGACATTTTTTTACTGTAATAGAATTATCTTGTCTTTACAGAACTTTTGTGTTACCTAGAGGCACGACCAGGAAGCGCATGTGGTTGAGCCAATCGGACGTCTTGTTTGCCAGTTGGGTGACAAAAAACTGCAAAATGGCGCCGAGGTAATTCTGACTGCCCACTACGGCGACCTTCACGGCTTTGGGCATGGAAGAGTTGCAGTTACAGCTGTAAAGAAGAGAAATACGAATACATTAACATAGATTACAGCTTATAACCTTTGGAAATGTCACAAAACAGAGGGAAAGGAAACGAGGTCAGCGCAGGAGCAGTGGGCAGTAAAAGCAAAAACAATGGATGAGTCATTGTGAATAAATTGCGTCTAGTAGTACTGCGGGTGTTGCTGAGTGAAAGTTGAAATAGTATGAAAATATATGCACATTAGTCACACAGGAGGAGGAGAGAAGTTCAAAAAGCCTGACGTAAGATAATAACTTTTCAAGAGCATGTGTCATTACCCAGGAGAATATTTGGAAAAAACATTTTATATCATGTGCTAAAGTTTTTCTTCTCACTGTGAGTAATACTTATGTTTGTCGCAACAGAAAGAGCCTTTTAAATGGAAAATATTTTGCATACGTTTAAGAAACTTCCTCTATAGTTTCACAATTTCACTTTTCTGTCTGAAAAGGCTGATCTAATGATGTGACAGACTTCTACAAAACTTTTTCTAGAGGGACTAACAAAATGTAATTGGAAATATTTGGTACCCCAGCTTTAAGAATCGTGGGAATATATTGTGTCTTGTGGCTCAAACTTGCATGAATCAGTTTAAAAACGATATTACCAGCTCAAAATGCTTTAAATTTGACTCAGTCCATGATGTCGTCTGTTTGCCACTGTCTATAAAGTCCTTTGAAACTCACAATTTCTGTATTCTGGTGAGCACTGCCGACAGCACGGCCTGGATCTCTGCAGAGGAACACGTGCTGACCACCGGCTGCCGATGCGTTTGGAGCTGCTCCGTCACATACTGAGAACAACAACACGAATCAACACATTTAGCCACAATCATCACCATATCCACTGACAGCCGATCACGGGCTATTTCTATCATAATAATGCATCAGTTTCATATAGCATCTTCTTAGACACTCAAAGACGCCTCACATGTCATTATTCTTTCACTCCATACATTCATTCATTTATACATTCATTCATTCATTCATTTTCTATCCCCTTTATTAGTCCATTTCTGAGTAGGGGGAGTGGCAATGGCAACATGGGGTTAAGTGTCTTGACCAAGGACACAACGACAGCAGACGTGAGTGGGAGCAGTTGGAGTAGGACTCATGGGAGGATCGAACACATGACCTTCAGACCCAAAGGTGTGAGCCTGAAGGTCATGGGTTCGAGCCCACCACAAGACTTTCTCCACCGACTTTCTCCACCCACTCCATTTTCTGACATTTTTTAAGAGACTCCTGGAGCCACTCGAGGGCCACTAAAGAGCCGCAGGTTGCCGACCCCTGGCCTAGATAAAGTCTGGTGTGTGTGTGAATGGTTGGTGGTGGTCCGAGGGGCCGATGCCACATACTGGTTGCCTCGCTTCTGTCAGTGTGCCCCAGGGCAGCTGTGGCTACTATAGTAGTTTATCACCACTGTGTATGGAGTGAATGAATAATGACATGTGAAGCGTCTTTGAGTGTCCAAAAAAGCGCTATATAAAACCGATGCATTATTATTATTATTATTAATAGTACTAACCAGGCCCTGTCCTGCTTAGCTTCAGACCTCTGATGCTAAGCAGGATCTGTCTTTCACATGCAAGTATGGCCATCAATAACTGAATGAATGATTGAAATCAGTCAAATCTCTCCTACACATTTTCTCACGCTCAGCTCTCATAAGTCTCATGATAAAACCATGGGTACCTGTCCTTGCCAGTCGGTGCAGTTCACTAGAATGAGACTTTCGGGAAGCGCAGAGTCCGTCACCAGTATTTGGTTGAGTTGATCGTACATAGCTTTCCTCAGGACCTAAAAGGAAAATCAAAGCAAAATGTTCAGTATTAAAAAAAAACAACGCAAATGAAAACAGACTCATTGATTACACGGTGACTTCTGCAGATCAATCAAGTTTTTCTTATTTATCTTCACCTGAATCTAAACGCTACTGGACGACAGAAGGTTGTGGCGTAAAGTGAACGACATATTTACAAAAGGAAAACATTTATGTAAATACCCACATAGTTGTGTTTCCGGTTCAGATGAGTCACACACATGCATTATTCATTCAGAGTGAATCACAGACGCTTCTACTTTGAGAAAAAGAGTGAAGCTACAGTATTTCCACTCATACAAAGCCCTTATAGGATTAACTTCATTACATCACATCTGCAAGTCTAATGCACAGGAGCTCCAAGAGGCACGCTGGCTTTTTCTCATTTATTTCTATGAGAGAGGCTTCCAATAAAGTCAAATACATACATACAGTATTTACACTGCAAAATATGATAAAATATGAGGTAGTATTGGCTTGAATGGGGTGGTTTTTACCTTAATTTAAGACATTCTTGTCTTAAAACAAGATTTGCCAATGGGACAAAGCCATTTAGTCTTATTTCAATAACTTTTGCTTTATTTTCTCATTCCAAAGAGATATTTCTTGTATCTGTATAAAACAAGATACTTATGCTTTGTCCCATTGGCAACTCTCGTTTTAAGGCAGACAAAATGTGCTGAGATTAATAGACTTTTTTCCAAATTTGAGCAATTTCTGACTTGTTTTTTGTCATTTTTTGCAGTGATAGACTTGAAGGGGCAGGGAGGAGACTTTACAGCTGTATGAAGTTTTAATGCAAACATCAACAAACATATGTGTTCAAGCTGTGGGTAACTTCTTTATAATTCACCAAAGGTCATCTCCTTTGGCCCATTTAAAGCCTGTTCACACGAGTTGGTCTGGTTCACTTTAACTGGACTGATTCTGCCCTATATGTATAACTTTGCACTATATATACACAGATTGAGATTTCGATATATTGATATTGAAGCATTTACAGCTGGCTAAGAAACATAGCAGCTACTTATATTGTAAATTTTGCGTGTTCACCATGTGCTCTTACTACTGCCCTGCATTCATGCGCTGCAACATTGAAATTTCCCCACTGTGGCATGAATAAAGGTTCTCAAAGGTTCTTATATTCCGGTTCACTTTATTTGTGGATGTAAAACCACCAAACAAGTGAACACATGTATGAGCTCAAAGCAACTAATGTGAACTTAATTTATACCTTGATATATTTTATTTTTATATGTTTATTTGTTTTTTCCTTCAAGAATACTTTCGACAAAAAAGATCCAATTAGCTGTCTAGTGGTTTAGCAATTAGCTAGCTAGTGGTTTAGTCAGTTTTCTCCAATGTCAAGAGGCGTTTTTCACTTCACAAATCCGGCTATAATCCACAACATTTCAAAGTTACAACATTAGGTTCTAAATGTGGCGTATGTCTCATGTGACCCGTGCAAATGGGACGCCACCTGCATACAGTATGAAAGCCTGATTCTGTCACGCTCAGCAGGACAGAGCTCAGCAGGACAGAGCTCAGCAGGACAGAGCTCACGTGGGGCGGCTGAGGCAAGAGACAACACCCACATCCTCTAGACTCTGGCTGCCTCACTTCCATCAGTCTACCCCAGGGCGTCTCTGGCTACAGTAGAAGTTTACCACCGCAGTGTGAAGCGCATGAGTGTCTATAAGCGCGGTAACAAACCAACACTGCAAAAAAATTATCAAACATGAGGTAATAAATGATTGAATAGAGTGGTTTTTATCTTCATTTGAGTAGATTCTGACTGTGTTAAAACAAGATTTACCAATGGGACAAAGCCAATTAGTCCATAAGAACTGATTTTCTCATTCCACGGGAGACATTTCTTGTATCTTTTCAACCCTTTAATGGTTTCCTCAACCATTTGTTAGATCACCTTTTGAGTCAATACAGCTTGGAATTGAATTACAGTATACCTCTTTGGGGCATCTCACTTGGTTTTAGGAACTTTTACCATCAAACTGCATCTGAACCATTTGGTAAAGGCCGATAATTAATACAAAATAGGGATCAATAAAAAAATAAAAAAGTTAAGTGTGAATGGTGAAGGGTTAAAACAAGATCATTTTGACCCAATGGTAAATATTGTATCAAAATGTGCTTGAATTCAGATAAGTTTTGCCAAAATTGAGAATTTTTGTTCTCATTTTGGCAAATCTCATCTCTTTTTTGCATTAACATTATTATAGAGGGACCACAGTCTTCTCTACTGCCTTAGGGCACAGCTCTCTCATGTTGTTGTGGTATTATCTAGGGAACGTCTCCAGTGAAAAGGCTGCAGTGTGTCCTTGTTCCTCAGACGGTGTTTCTCTTACAGGCGTGCTGTGTCCCAGCTCTGGGGACCTCTCGGAGTCAGAACTGTTGGCTCGCTCGCTCGGTGGTTTGGAAAGCTGCCTCTCCTTCAGGGGAGTGGAGCCGCTGCGCTTCTGTTTGGGCGTGTGACCTCCATCCATCCTGGGACACAAAAACAGTTATTATATTTACAGAGACAATATCAAATCATACACACCAGGATGATAGAGCGCTCTGAATCAGGGATTTTTCAGTCCAAAATGGTGGTGATAGAAACGGTTACAATGCTTTTGCGAGTTGGGGCAAAACTTTGTCCATGAGCACTTCCTTTTTGAGTGGGTTAGCACTGTCCATCTACACAGTCTATGGATCTAAACAATGTAATGAGGTTACACTCTACACCAGGGGTCTCCAACCTGTAACTCGGGAGCCACCAGTAGCTCACCACCCCCTTCCAGGTAGCTCGCCGAAGCATTTAGAAATTAACAAATCAAATAATATATGAATAATAATATTTATGATGTTTTATTCATTATTATTATCTATCATACTTTGTGCACAGGTAAGAAATCCCTGTCACCAATATATCACCAAAAAAAATTCCCAGGACCGGTTAAAGGAGGGAGGGGTTTCAGAATGACAAATAAATGAGAATTGTTGCTATAGTGATGAAACCGAAACACAGCAAAGTCCAGCTACAAATGCAAAATCCAAAGCGAATAGTAGTATTTTACAGTCACATTTTCAGTGGCTACAGTTAGCCAATCACAAAGACTGCAATTATTTAGATTGTATGATTTCCTTCACTCTGGAACAGTCTTAGAAATACAAGGATCACTGTGCATGCCAAAACAAGCTAACGATCTAAAAAAAATGAAGTCATGTATTTGTATGTGTTTTATCTGTGAATGGAAAAGGCAAGTTCAGTCTTATCCGACTTGGTTCTAAACAGAGTGGGAACTTATTGCATTTCAACAGAGAAAATATCATTGAATAACGACATTTCAGGTTCAGATTTCACTCATTCGAATTATCTTTGCACACTTGGAACGTTCTGTTGCCTCATAACAGAAATCGTAGACGGCTAATCTCAATGATGTCTGAAAAATCCCATGTTATTTCTTAACAATGGCGCCGCCCTCCTGTAGAGGCTTGGAAGTACCTGGGCGAGCTCTGTTTGTCGTTCTTGTTGGTCTTCATGGGAGTGTTACAGGGTTTCTCTGCCACAGACACAGTGATGCAGGGGCCAACCTCTGCGTACATCTCCTGATCCGTCAACTCCTGAGAAATAACAACATAAAAAAGTAATTTCAGTAACAACCGTCTTGCTCTGTGGCTTCTGAAGTTCTCTTTTCAAACAATGACAATGTCTGGTCTTCCCCAACTCTTCTCTCACCAAAGTATCAGTCTCGGACAAAGCCTCCTCCAAGTTTCGACTTCTTGAAGTTTTCATTTTCTCTACAGGTGGCGGCTCCCCCTGCTGGAGAGACAGATACAGAACAGATGTCAAGGGTGTGAATTAAAGCAGAGTTAGTAAACATAATCATTTACTAGAGCGATAAAATATCAAAAATATGTGACTTCAAATATGGACAAGAACTTGAGCTTAAATCTTCAAATGAAAGAATTCCTTCTTTTTAAATTAAACACATGGGGCCAAATTTAAAAAACATAAGCGCAGGTTGGGGCCAAAAGAAAAAAAGTGGTTTTCTTGAATTCCCGTAATGTCTTTTTACATATTTTTGCATTTTAACAAATTCATGTTATGAGCTTAGATATTATTATCTGGTATATTTACATTCAAACACAATTGGGCCAAATATAAAGATGTCACTAAGACTTATAACTATAAAACTATTATAACTATAAAACTATATATAAAAAATTATATTATTATGGGGGTTGATTATATTATAATGGTGTTATCTTTCTGAGAATATAAGTTATGAAATGAAGTACGGTGGCTGAGTGGATAGCACTCCCGCCTCTCAGCAAGAAGGTCCTGGGTTCGAATCCCGGTTGGACCAGGGCCTTTCTGAGTGGAGTTTGCATGTTCTCCCCGTGTCTGCGTAGGTTTCCTCCGGGTACTCCGGTTTCCCCTACCACTAAAAATATGTACAATAGGTCTGGCATGTGCCTCCTGTACTGGCACCCCCTCACTCCCAAAAAAATAACAATTGTAAACCGCTTTGAGACTCCGATGTGCAGTGAAAAGGCGGTATATAAATAAATAAATAAATAAATAAAAGTATAACAAGCCATAGTATCCCATTTTCATCAATGCTGCAAGTTACTGTGACAATGATAATAGAAAATCATTTCAAGGGCCACTAAAAATGGTCTTGCGGGCCCGAGTTTGACATGTGTGGTTGAGACTATGATGAAACATCACAGCACTGGGCTCAGACTGATTAGCTGCTCTTCTATTGAGCAGATGGGAACAGTAAAAAGGACACAGTTCCAATAAAAATCACAAAAAACATCATGAATGTTAGTGTGAGCGAATAGGCTTCATTGTGCTTCAATTTCTATGATTTCTAAATCCATAGGAGAGATATGGTTGGATTTACATACTGTAGAAACATAAACTCCTCTTGCACAGTAACTGAGTCATAGTCTAAAGCTGCCTCAGTGGAATACACTTTTGCAAATTTATTCCAATGTGGTTTTACTGCAAATGGCAAATAAATGAATCTGAAGCTGGTGCGGTGGAGGTACTCACAGGGCTCAGTGCGTCCCGGCCCAGACTGCCTTTGCTGTTCAAGCTGCCGATCTCCGTCTGCGAGCTGGACTGGGACATCCCCTCGAAGAACGGCCTGGATGAGGAGACAATGTGCTCAATTAAGATACACTTTGCCAAATTTAAGCAATTTTTCTGACTTATTTTCCATGACATTTTGCAGTGTATAATAATATATTGTATGGATACCTTAGCTTGGGTTTGGGCGTGCTCATGATGCTATCGTTCTCCTCCATCTCTGGTCCACTGTCGCTGGGGTTGTACATTTCCAAGCTGTCGTAAAGTTCGTCCAGATCCTCCTCCACCTCCTGGATCTGCTCCCGGGACACATGCTCCAAACCAAAGCCCACCTACACAAACAAATGATGAGTGTGCAATTGTTGGAAAGCACTGTTTGGATCATGTTTTTAAACCCTCTGATAGTTTCCGCAACCATTATATTCACTTATAGTAAAGCTGGGAATGATATCTACCTCATTGGGACATCTTTATCACCTGGTTTTAGGCACTTTTACCATAAAACTGCATCTCAACCATTTGTTAAAAACCATAATAATAAAAACTAGCGATTAAGTGGGTTAATCGGCGACTGCTGTTATCAGAGAAAGCCCTTTACTGAAGTGTGTATGATTTATTTTATTTTATTAGTTTATTTGAATAGGGACAGTACACATTAATCAACATTTCTGAAAATGTGTCAGTATTAGCTATACAGCAAGATAGATGTCACTAAATACTTTTAATACTCCATTAATAATTGGTGGATGGTAGTAGGGCTGGGGGTCTTCAAGAACCCTCTGATACGATACGCTTCTCGATATAGAGACGTACTTAAAGTCAGCGTCAAGTGAATTAATTTTCCCATTTATCCAGAGCCCAAAGTGCTGTACACTCTACAATAGACAAACATGAAGACACATAAACACACAATATCATAGACAAAAACAGCATAAAAATAGACAAATTATAATCAGCTCATTTGTTAGCCAAAGAACAAATGAAAAGACTTGCTCATTTGATACGATTCATTATGCACTTATTGTTGATAGTGGTTTAATTTGAACCCTTGATCTTTGGGCCACTGTGTACTGATGGACTCAAAATATAAGAAATATCTCAAAAATCCGACATCTCATTTCCTCTGAGAAATGTCATAATTGCAGCAGAATTTGGGAAAAAAAGTCCTTAAATTAGTAAATGTATAAACTAAGCAATGACTATTTTATAGTAGTTGATTTTAAGTCGTGTAAAATACATTACATTTAGTCCCTGACAATCAAAACATATTCTCATATTAAAAAGAATATATATGTGTGTGTGTGTGTGTCTATTTTGGAAATGCAACACATATACAGTATACTATTTGTCTATCTTTCTTCCAATGTTTATTGAATGTCCCTTTGTGCCATTGGAATTATAGTCATCTCTGTACTGTACCTGTCTTATCTCTACTGTACCCGTCTTATCTCTACTGTACCTGTCTTATCTCTCTACTGTACCTGTCTTATCTCTGTACTGTACCCGTCTTATCTCTACTGTACCTGTCTTATCTCTACTGTACCCGTCTTATCTCTACTGTACCTGTCTTATCTCTGTACTGTACCTGTCTTATCTCTACTGTACCTGTCTTATCTCTACTGTACCTGTCTTATCTCTGTACTGTACCCGTCTTATCTCTGTACTGTACCCGTCTTATCTCTACTGTACCTGTCTTATCTCTACTGTACCTGTCTTATCTCTGTACTGTACCCGTCTTATCTCTGTACTGTACCCGTCTTATCTCTACTGTACCTGTCTTATCTCTACTGTACCCGTCTTATCTCTGTACTGTACCCGTCTTATCTCTACTGTACCTGTCTTATCTCTACTGTACCTGTCTTATCTCTGTACTGTACCTGTCTTATCTCTACTGTACCTGTCTTATCTCTACTGTACCTGTCTTATCTCTGTACTGTACCTGTCTTATCTCTGTACTGTACCTGTCTTATCTCTGTACTGTACCCGTCTTATCTCTACTGTACCTGTCTTATCTCTACTGTACCTGTCTTATCTCTCTACTGTACCTGTCTTACAGTATCTCTGTACTGTACCTGTCTTATCTCTGTACGGTACCCGTCTTATCTCTACTGTACCTGTCTTATCTCTACTGTACCTGTCTTATCTCTACTGTACCCGTCTTATCTCTGTACTGTACCCGTCTTATCTCTACTGTACCTGTCTTATCTCTACTGTACCTGTCTTATCTCTGTACTGTACCTGTCTTATCTCTACTGTACCTGTCTTATCTCTACTGTACCTGTCTTATTTCTCTACTGTACCTGTCTTATCTCTCTAGTCTTATCTCTGTACTGTACCTGTCTTATCTCTCTCTAGTCTTATTTCTGTACTGTACCTGTCTTATCTCTGTACTGTACCTGTCTTATCTCTAATGTACCTGTCTTATCTCTGTACTGTACCTGTCTTATCTCTACTGTACATGTCTTATCTCTACTGTACCTGTCTTATCTCTACTGTACCTGTCTTATCTCTACTGTACCTGTCTTATCTCTCTACTGTACCTGTCTTATCTCTACTGTACCTGTCTTATCTCTCTACTGTACCTGTCTTATCTCTACTGTACCTGTCTTATCTCTGTACTGTACCTGTCTTATCTCTGTACTGTACCTGTCTTATCTCTGTACTGTACCCGTCTTATCTCTACTGTACCTGTCTTATCTCTACTGTACCTGTCTTATCTCTCTACTGTACCTGTCTTACAGTATCTCTGTACTGTACCTGTCTTATCTCTGTACGGTACCCGTCTTATCTCTACTGTACCTGTCTTATCTCTACTGTACCTGTCTTATCTCTACTGTACCCGTCTTATCTCTGTACTGTACCCGTCTTATCTCTACTGTACCTGTCTTATCTCTACTGTACCTGTCTTATCTCTGTACTGTACCTGTCTTATCTCTACTGTACCTGTCTTATCTCTACTGTACCTGTCTTATTTCTCTACTGTACCTGTCTTATCTCTCTAGTCTTATCTCTGTACTGTACCTGTCTTATCTCTCTAGTCTTATTTCTGTACTGTACCTGTCTTATCTCTGTACTGTACCTGTCTTATCTCTAATGTACCTGTCTTATCTCTGTACTGTACCTGTCTTATCTCTGTACTGTACCTGTCTTATCTCTACTGTACATGTCTTATCTCTACTGTACCTGTCTTATCTCTACTGTACCTGTCTTATCTCTACTGTACCTGTCTTATCTCTGTACTGTACCTGTCTTATCTCTGTACTGTACCTGTCTTATCTCTACTGTACCTGTCTTATCTCTCTACTGTACCTGTCTTATCTCTACTGTACCTGTCTTATCTCTCTACTGTACCTGTCTTATCTCTACTGTACCTGTCTTATCTCTGTACTGTACCTGTCTTATCTCTACTGTACCTGTCTTATCTCTACTGTACCTGTCTTATCTCTGTACTGTACCTGTCTTATCTCTGTACTGTACCTGTCTTATCTCTGTACTGTACCCGTCTTATCTCTACTGTACCTGTCTTATCTCTACTGTACCTGTCTTATCTCTCTACTGTACCTGTCTTACAGTATCTCTGTACTGTACCTGTCTTATCTCTGTACGGTACCCGTCTTATCTCTACTGTACCTGTCTTATCTCTACTGTACCTGTCTTATCTCTACTGTACCTGTCTTATCTCTGTACTGTACCTGTCTTATCTCTACTGTACCTGTCTTATCTCTACTGTACCTGTCTTATTTCTTGAATCTATTTATTGAACTGCAGCAATTTCTGCCATGGCTCTTTACACATTCCGTTTCCGGCAAAGAGAAACTAGAAACGTGTGACGGGCGTTTACTCTGGATTTCCTCCTGGAGAATCTAAACAACACTAGTTCTATTTTCATCCGAGGCATTTCTCTCCACGAGCCGCCAGAAGATAAACTCCTACACACTTCTCCTTCGCTCTGCCATTTATATCAGGCTAATGTGACTAGTTTGTTGTCAACATATCAATAAAGTAAAAACGTATAAATATTTAGACATTTTCTCTAGACTTTTGGATGTGTCTCCGTTTTTCTGATCTGTCTGGATGTGTTATATAAATACATGCCCTTCCTGTCTTCCTGCCTATAATAGGGCACAAACCACAGATACAGACATCGATCATTGAGGTGAAAAAATAACTTGTTTTTAAAGTCCCATCCAAAGTCTATTTTCTGCTGCTTTTTTTACATCTTGTGCCTATAGAAAGATTCTCGACCTGAGGAAGACTAAAAAGGGGATCCTAATTAAGAACCTGCTCCTAACCAAACTTGTGCAAGGCTACAAAAAATAGATAGCTCTAAAATGAATAGTTATTATTTTAAAGGTGATAGTCATAAGAATAGTAACAATGGGTTTGGTTTGCCTTTGGTCAAAATAATGGGAAAATAAAATAATGGGAGAAAATTAAAAACATTTTTTTTTGTGGTGGTTTGATTTTCTACATAACACACTTTGATGAGAATGACTTTTGCATTGTTCAGACAATATTTTAATCTTTTAAAATTTTTGACTTCCTGTCTTTTTGCACACCCTGAGTGATTCTAACTTGGCCAAGTGTGACATGTACATTTCTCCATTGTGAGATCCATAAAGTTTATCTCATCTTATCTTCATACAGGCTTCAGTTTCAGCTGGTGGTGTGCCGTGTAATCGTTTTCAATAAATAGATAATAAAACTGCCTGTTTTTACAGACCTTCCAGCAAAAAAAAATAAAAAAAATTACTGATTTGTTGCTTCTGCTTGGATTGTTGCTTGTGGTCCGTGTCTGCCACAAATGTGAAGACCCGGATATATCAAGGTATTAGGTATTACAATAGGTATTATTTCCAATGCTTTTAAGGCTTTTTAAAAACCCTGCAGCAAATCTATAATAGGGTTAGCCAAAAGAATTGCCTAAAATGTAATTGATGGATGTGAATTTGCTCATGCTTTTTTTGTTAAAAATAAACAAGCATAAACAATCAGCATACAAATGAATACAAGCATATAATAAAAGGCATCCTTAAAAGAATAGACACAACATTGTTTTCCATCATAATAAGATTTGTTAATTTGAGCGTCTCCCAAATGAAAACTGAAAACCGAGAGCAGCGAACGAAAAATGTGTTAGATTATTGTGAGAATAAAATACAATCAAACAAAAAGATAATTCCACAGACGACACATAAAGAGAGAGAGAGACAGAAAACACATGCGTTTATGAGTGCAGAGCTGAATTATTTTGAAAAGGCTATAGCCACTGTTAGCTGCCGTTTCTGTGCAGGCAAACACAAGGACATACTATGGTGGTACCGACGGCTGCAGATACATAGGCGATCATAGACGAAAGCTGTTTCTTAAAGTGATTGTGGAAGCAGGGAAGGTGTAGGAAAAGTGAAGGAAAAACATGCAAACCCACCTCATCTGTGACTTTAAAGCGTTTGAGCAGGGCCACAAACTTCTCTTTGATTTTGGGTTGCTGGTGAAAGGAGCACAGAGGAACACTTCATGAGACACGGGGGGAAAAGACGGGCATCCATAAAGAGAAAAATTTTATTATCAGCGAGGAAACGGATCTGATGAAGAGGCTTTTTTTTTTTACACCGCTTTTCACGCTTCACGACTCAAAACAACAGCTGTTTATGGATGGAGTGTTGTCATAAAAAGAAAAAAAAAACTATGAATGCAGAAAAGGCAAAGGAGCTCAGTGCATCATCGTTACCCGCTGTGGAAGAAAACATTTAGAAAAGCTTATATTTTAAAAAGGGGTCAAAAATTAAAGGCAAGCATTTCTTCATCATTTGTTTTATTTTGGCGGGACACAGACGTAAGATGTATCTTTTTGATGTATTTATGTACTTCTGACCCTTTTGCGTTGCTTTGTTGTTTGCGGCTTTGTATTTTAATCTGTAACACTTTGAGGTTTCCTGGAAATGTAAGGTGCACACTAAGTAAAATGTATTATTATTATTATTATTATTAAAGGAGTCCTTAAAATGTGCTGAAATCAAACCAGTCCTGCTCCCATTGATGAAGTTCTGCTTTTCCTTGGACTTTCTCTTCTCTTCTAAATTCTTTGTTGTGCTTATCGAGTTATTGTTAGTACTTTTACCTAACTGTGTGTTTCTATGTTTTTGCTATTCCAGAATATTTATGTCCTAAATTCAAATACATACAAATAAATTAATACATATTATCAGACAGATAAGCAAGATCCAGGACACTCGACATTCATTGATTTTAATAAACATTTATTTGACATTGGTCTCTGCCCCTTATGGACCAATGGCCTCTGTGTTTTTTATCATTGCATTTCTTGTGTTTGTTTCTCTGATCTGTGTTGGTAAATTTAACGGTTGTGTTAAGTCCTTCGAGATAACTTCTGTTGTGATTTAGGGCTACACAAGAATAATATCCGATCATCACCATCTATTCACTCTCTCGTCAAATTCATATCTATTGTGCATGTTTTTAGCGGATGGGTAAACCGGAGCACCTGGAGGAAATCAACACATCTTGCCGTAAAAACACACACACTAAACCACCGCGCCACTGTTTCCCGCGGCGTAAACTAACTCACTAAACTGTACGACTCATTACACTGCGGACCCGTGTTTTTGGACCCGCGTCCGAGAGGCATTGTCGACCCTGGATAAGAATGTTTGAGGTTCTTGTTTGGAGCCGTGCGTGTCGGCTTTCTTCACTACTGGGAAGAACGGAAACTGGGTCAAAACAAACTTGTGAATATTTGACACGCTGTCAGAGGCATTTAGGAATCAAACTTTTTAGTGTGTAGCATCAAAACACCACTACTCCAAAACGGCAATAGTCTTCTTAAGTCCTCTTAAGGTGGAAATGACATAATGAGCATTCTACATACTGAAAATCTGTACGATCATGGGCTCAGTCAAACATGTTAGCGGTGATGAGTCGTGATTTATGCTAAAGTCAGGATTTTTTTTATTTTTTTTTTTTCTTCAGAAAATCATCAGTTTAACATAAAAATACAAGATACACTTACATAACTTGTGGATCAATAAAGTCTAAGTCCAAGTTCTCTTGAGTGTCGAGCAGAATACCTTAAATTACCTTTAATTCACTATAGTAGAAAATCAAATATAGATACACATGTTATTGTCCATGTTATTGAATAAAAATGCTACAATAAGACTTTTTTTTTTTTCAATAACAAACAGCACTAGTTATTATAGTTTGATGTTGTTCAGTGTGTCAGCCTAATAACGCCCTTTCGCACGGACACAGGGATAATCCATCAGCTCTGTCAGAAAAGCCCGTCCCCCGTGGTTCAAAAGTGATACTGTGTCTCGTGTCTTAATACATGTTTCTCAAAAGCGGCTGCGGATCCATCACGCAAAGTGGTCGAGCTTCGTGCGGCGCTGTTTTCGACACACACTACCGGCCTGAATTACCTGTCAGGGAAAAACAGGCTAATAGATTTATAGAAAGGAAGGCGACGGTGCTACAGCCGAGGACGGAGAGGAAGAGGAAGAAGAGGAGGGAGTGAAGCCTTCAAGATCAAATGTGTTATAGATGGAGGTTTAAGATATGAATGTATATTTAAACATGATTCCAGTGCTATTTGGCCTTGATACACATGCCCAGAGTCGTTTTTTCATGGATTCCCTTAAGCTTTAGTTAGAGAGCGATCTTTCTCTTTCATTTTCCTGAGGCACAGAAACGAGCTGATTGACAGCGGGGAGAAACTGAACCAGCGAATCAGCACCGTCTATGGTCAGCTGCAGCCTCTCTCCGAGTCCAGCGTCTGCTCCATAGACAGTAATCAAGCGTCTGTGCTTTGACGTGAAAATGTGCTGTTGGTGTAAATATGTGACGTGAGTATTTGTCTGAAGACATAGAAGGAGGATCGACTTTGTTCACGGGGATCTGCCTCGAGTCGGAAATCCGTAATGAAACTCGCAGATGTTTCTTTATCATGAAACGGGATCTACTCAAAATCTGATCTGGAAACCTGGTGTTATTCCAGCATAATAATAAATATGGCACCTTTAACCGTTTATCTTCCATCATAAACATGTATCTGTGTTCTGCTCTTTAAAAAACGTTCTGTAAACTTCTACATTCTGCTGTTTAAAACAGGATGCCTCAATTAGATGGCGCCATGTTGGATTTAGAAGTCAATATAGCAGATCACAATGACCCACTTTGACCACTAGATGGCAGTATTGAATACGTTCTAGTCAATAGTTCCACTTGCTTACGCTTAAGTCGTGCTTTTATCCATATACTTTGACATTCTAAAACATGAAATACAAAAGTAAAAATCATTTCAACATATTTAAGTCAAAATTAACACGAATAATATTTGTCTTATGGATACTGATTGTCCCACTATATATTTTTTTTAATGCATTTCCTGTGTTTTGTATAATTCTCTAATCTGGTGTTGTGTCTACTAGGATGAAAAATAAATGATAAAAATGAATGTATTTGACTATAACTTTACCATTTAACATGTGATCAATAGTTTATAATCATACTCTTACTCCTTCTATGTGATTTAGACATTTTAAGGCACTAGTCTCAGAGCCACAGCCATAGAAAACTACAGCAGGACAAAACCTCAAACTAAAATCAAATTTTTTTTAAAAAATGCAGGAAAAACCGGACTAACTGGTTCACACTTGCATAGGAACCCAAACGAGATCATAGTTATCATAGCTCACATCTCAGCTGAGCCTCAACCATGACATTTTAATGCAATTTCCCAATGTTTCCTACCAAAAACTTGATAAAATGGTATTCATTTGAGCATATCGCATACAATTGCTCTGGAGACTGCAAAGGCAAAGGGAACAGAGACATAGATGCGTATTCCGAGGCAATACGCAAGAGAAGGAGGTGTAGAGCCAGAATCATATTACATTTATTTGAAAGTCTGCTTTTTCCTTTTTCTATTTTCGAACAGTCCCAGTCCCAAATCACATTACTGCAAATATCAGCCGATAAAGAAGAAGAGCAAAGAGAAGGTGGAATAGACAGGGCTGATGGAGGACTAGGGGGAGATGGAGATGGACGGTTTGATATTTCACGTATTATTGAGAGAGTCATAATATTTCATTAAAGCTCGGGTACTGGATTTATGATCTATGTTTTTTGTCCCGATAGAAAAACTTGTAATGGGAAAATCAGACCGCAATGTGCTGTCATTATAATATTATATTGTGCATACTTGTGAGAAAGTGCTCTTTGAGCTGAAGGAGGGAGGTCTCTCTTTTTCACTTTTCTGCCCCGATAAATCTGATCTAAAAACATGACATGGGCCACAAATACATAAAACCAAACCAAACTGTTTTAAAGCCAGTAACGGAATCTATCGGTTTTTATTTTTTCTCAATTTTTTGGTTTCTTGGAACACTATTGTTTTTAATAAATACATACAAATAGATATGATAGAAATATGTTGTGGTCTTAAGGTTAGATTAAGGTTACACAGATAAGGTTACACAGTTTTAAAATACAGTACCACTTACTAAAAAAGAGGTTTTTGTTATTAAAAAAATTACATTATAGTATTAGTCTATGATAATTTATTTAGTCTATTAGTGTTTTTATTATTTCAACACTTTTTTTCTTCATTTTGATTAGCCGAATGATAATTTATTGAGATTTTCTTTCGGCTGTGCGGCACTAAACAATGACAAATGTGGCATCTACAGTGGAGCCTTCGCAAAATTAGCCTAAAAATAAGTACAATTATATGAAATAGAGATAAAAATGAATGAAAGTCTTACTCTGGAGATTGGAACATTTGAAGTTTTGCGTCGAGTTGTTTTCTTCTTCCTCACGTCCTCATCTTCATCAAAAAGATACTACACAAAAAACAAAGGACACAAAAAGATAATGTAGAAAGGTGCATTGTGTTTTTAATAGAAATGTAAAGTATTACTGTTTGCCTTCATTCAAATTCTTTGGAAAAACGTGTCGGTCGATCTACTCATAAATGTATTGGTTCCCATATGAATAATTAAATGTGTCAATCAAATATAAAGGAAGACATAAAAAGTAAAGAATACTGGTCTAAAAATAGAGCTCAACAAAGCAAAGGCATCAAACTAACATGTTTTACTGGATCAAGGCCGTTCTAAGCTTCATAATGAGGTATGACATGTTTATATGGATTCACATTTGACAGAGCTGAAGTTCAAGATAAATGTTTGGTTTTCCACTAATTGTGTTAGTGCCACGTACAGAATTTTAGGCCACACTCATAAATAATGTTGTGATTGAGGGTTATACAATAATAAACTGAATTTTGTCTTTTCAGAGATGCGGGACTTACAGTAAAATCACCCTAAATACCTTACAATTTATTTTATGTTATTGTTATTGTTATTATTGTTATTATTATTATTGTTATTGTTATTATTATTATTATGTATTTATTATTATTATTATTTATTTATTTATTTATTAGTTGCTCATGACCATATATATATGTGTATAACTCCAAATACTAGTTTCACTTTTACCACAAATGAATATCAGCATATACGTTATTGGCTGAATATTGGTATGAAAAAAACAAATTGGCTGATCCATACTGATTACTTGACGATCCCTATAGGGCCACATACACCGAGTTTAGACATGACTGGTGTAATTGATATCTTTAAACGATTAAAAACTATTAATCAATTACTAGAAGTCGTTTTTGCGTGATTCACAGTCATTGCCACTTTAGTATCGTCCGGTGATAGTGCAGCAGAGACAAAGCCGTTGTTTTATCGATCACTCTCCTCAACGTCCTGATGCGGAGGTTTATTAAAAACACCATCAGCTCTTTGTGTAGATGGAACTGGAAGTGTGTCATCTTCCGGGTAATGATAAACCAACATGAAGTGGTGATTCATGTAGATCTCTCGCACAGCACCAGTCCGCTCAGATTTGATTTGATTTTAAGTTGGAAACTTCAAGGTCTTTGCCGTCTTCAATGAAAGGAAACTGTCGAAAGAAACTGAGCGCCTCTTCAGGTTATTTTTAAAGGTGAGTCATTTATTGTCAACAGCAAAAGAGACACCGAGATGCTTTGATTTCATGATTGTGCGAATATGTAGCGTAAATACTGAGAAATAATGACAATTGTACAGTATGTAACAGAAGTCAATGCGACAATACAAGTACTTTATATCTGTGAAATCTTGAAAATGTGTAATAGTGTGATTTTGTTATCTCAAGATTGAGCCTTTTACTTTAAAAGCACCAATGATATGAGCAAAAACAGGATGGATTTGTAAAAAATAAATAAATAAATAAATAATAATAATAATAATAATGCATTCGTTTTTTTTAGGACTTTTCAGGACACACAAAGAGGCCATCATTCTTTCACTCCATACACGGTGACGATAAACTATTCTGGAAGCCACAGCTGCCCTGAGGCACACTAACAGAAGCGAACCAGTATGTGCCATTGGCCTCTCGAACCATTCACACACACCATAGACTCATTTCTAGGCCATGTGGGTGAAGTGTCTTGCCTAAGGACATAATGACAGATACTTTTCAAATTGCGAGGATGGAGGGACGGTTTTTCGAACACAAGTGTCAGTTAGACCCGCCCCCACAGCCTCCTGATTGGATGCTGAGGCCCCTCCCCATTGGTCGAACTATTACCCTCCAGTAAATCTGGTGAATACTGGAAACGCTTATTCCAAGGAGAGGGACTGATTTAAATATATTTATTACCATGAAATACAATTGAAGTTGCAGATGTCTCCTTTAATCAGCTGGAGGAAAAATGCAAACCCAAAAGTGTGAACTGAATAATTTATTACCAGAAGTCACATGTTTGTCCCATAAGTGCCTGATATTAGCATGGATGGATCTAAAAGCAAACTCCAGGTCTGTTTTTGACAAGTGAACAAAGTGGTAACACGGTTAAACGCTCAGAAAGAGGTCGACTGAGCAGAAATCTCCTTTCTCTGCTTTTTTTCGTTTCACGTCTAGTTTTGTGGGGTCTGGCCTTATCTCTGTGTGCTGTGGGTTTAAATCCCTTTCCAATCCCGTGCACCGGTGAATGCCAATCTCCCACACAGCACCTCCACACCTCGGGGAACATAATTCACAAGCGAGGAGAAAACTAGAGAGAAACAGGTCATGCGCCTAAAGAACCCTACAGAAAGGACTTTAGAAGCAAAATAGACAGGCTGTGTCACTGGGCTGAAGGATGCTCTTTTGTCCTTCATGTTATTGCTTTCCTGGAATCCAAAAGATGGCAGAACCCCCTCCAGGAAAGTGTATTTTTTTAGTACATCAATATAAAACATAGCAGCAGGATTTAAATCTGGGGTACAGAACTTTAATATTAATAATATAAATACTGTGGCACTTGGTGTTCCCAGAGGTCTCCCATCACAGTAGTAACCAGGCCCTGCCCTGCACAGCTTCAGAGGTCTGACAGGATCTCTAGCTTTCAAATACAGGCACAGCATGGCCACACTTTAAAAACCACAATCCATAGAAGTATCTATCTATCAGACCAGTTCTGACATTAGAATGTTGTGTAAGTCATCATTTTATCAAATCACATGTGGCTAAAATGGTGGTTTTATGTTAATCCATTTTGCCAGGAGGAAGCATGGGCCTTGTACTATTTACATGTTCATAAGGAAAGTCTGTCATTGTCCTTTGTTCTGTTGGTTCTTCTGTTCCTATTTGCATAAAGCTAAGTCTTGTCTACTAAAAGGAAGTTGCAGTCTTTTCTTTTCTGGCAGATCTGTCCTGAAGGAGCCCGAGCTCATGTGCTCTGCCTTCGTCAAGACACTTCTTGAACGGCAATCATGTAGAAAGAATGCCTGAACTACTGTATGTCTGTTTGTGTGTGTGCGATTTTGTCCAGGTTCGATTGTAGTTAAAAATCAGCATCAACTTTAGCTTGCGTGGGTATGTAAACTATGGCCTTTTGACATTTGTCCATAAATGGTAATAAAAGTCTATAAATGTCATTAAATATCAGGGATCATCATTGTCCTTAGAAAACTCTTGCAGCGGGAACTCAAAAAAAGTGTCTACCAGGTCAAAACGTAAGTAATGTAACGTCTATAGCAGGGCCATTTGAAGAGCACGAGTTTAATTGAACATGTAAAAGTAGGATTAATGTGTGATTTAAACGCAATCTATAACAGAAAATCCACTTGTAAGAGCGTTCAACCGTGTCGCAATAGTTTCCCCTTGACGTTTACTCACTCAAAAGTTGTTTTTGGATTTGTGTAATTCTCTCTCTCCTCCTCCTCCTCCTCTCCTCTCTGACGTTTTTACTCAGTAGTCTGTATTTGTTTGTTCCTTCAAGCATGTTCACACTTTATAATTGAAGTGAACTCTTTGCACTTTGGGTTAATTACATTTGTTTTGTTCAAGATGTGAAAGCACCAAAACAAGTGCAGCCTGATTGGATCCTGTTTGCTGAGCCTCCATCTGTCATATGTAGATTTTTTTTGGTTGAGCGGTGTGCAGGCATTTTGGCTCGAATGTACAAAGCAGTAAAGTGTGTTTGTCAATCTGCGTGGCCTTAGACGGGACGACACTGAGTAAAAGTGGTAAGCATATATCAGTAAGTCAGGGTTGAATGTAGAAGTGAGATTTTCAATTTGAAATCTAGAAAGAAGACTAGCACAGAAGTAGGGCATGACTTAAAATAAAATAAAAATGTAATTGCAATTTATCAGATAACCATTGCGAATAAGATTTTTGTATATATATGTGTGCCGGCACTTTAACGCGTTAGATTACGATTAATTAATTACACAAAAATTAGCGCGTTAAAAAAATTGACGCATTTGAATCTATTTTTGCATCGCTGGATTGTACTGTAGCACCAACTGGAGCTCCGTGACTTTTTTGTTCAACAGTACATTATTACAAGCATAGATAAACTTTAGTGGTATCTAAATCCCAGTAAGAGACGGGAATGAGCGCTTCTGTGTGTGAGGAGGAGGAGCAGCGACTCTTGTGTGTGAGCAGAGGCGGAGGAGGAGGAGGGGGAGGTGCGTATGTAGGGGTCAGAGAGTGTGGAGGCGATGACAGAAACATTATCTGATGGGAAAGAAGTCCGTCTGATCATCCACAATAAACATGTGTTGCTTAAGCTTATGTATTCAGTCATTATTCAATGGTAAACTAAAAATCCATGTGAAAAAAATTACTTCTCACTGTTCTCAAGACAAATATTTATTTGCGATTAATTCATTACAAAGCCTCTAATTAATTAGATTAATTTTTTTAATCGAGGCCCAGCCCTAATATTAGGGCTGGGACTATATATGTATTTTGAATATGAATATAGTATTTTGAATATATACTACTCAAAATAAATCTGAAAAACTGATTAAAGACATGTAACCATTAGTCTAGATCAGGCATGTCAAAGTCAAATACATCAGAGGGCCAAAAAAAAATTTTTGCTATGCGCCGAGGGCCGGACTGGTTCAATGTTTCTCAACATCCAGAGGCAGTGCCGGTGACACCTGTTGGCTCGATAAAATATGCTCCAAAGCCAATCCTCATACTGTACATATTAGATGTAATAGACATCTGAGAACATGAAAATAGTAAAAAAAAGAAAAAGCTCAAACTTGGTGAAATGTAAAAGAGCAGTCTGGACCTCTTTTCGGGGCGTTTTTTGATTAAATCTGAAGAATGGATTATACTTTGGGAAATACAAGTGGATATTCTTCGTCAAAGAACAGTTACGGAGAGAAAGAGACTAAGCAAGGATGGGGAAAGTCTAATTTGTTGGAGCAGCAGAAGACAAAAGGTAAAAAACAAATACAGACTGATTTATTTTGTGCCCATATTATGCGTTATATCTTTTTAATGCAAAGTCTGATATTGTTTACACTTACATATAAATATATATAATATATAGCTTGTGGCTTATGAAGTTCAAAATACATCTGCTATTGCCAGCAGATGTATTTTTTTCCTCGTTTGCTCCCGCCGGCGGGGGCTAGCGAGCTTAAGGGGTCAATACATTGCCTCAATGGCAGGCAATGTCCCGGGGGCCATAGATAATTCATTCGCGGGCCGGATTTGGCCCGCGGGCCTTGACTTTGACACATGTGGTCTAGATCTTTGCGGTCGGAACCTCTGCTAGTGTCTATCTCTGATTCTCCGATTGCTTTGTAAATATCTCTTGTTGTATGTGAAAAATTAAATTAAATATATTCTGTGTTTTGCTACATTTTATTATTGTATGACTTTTTAATGTTATCTTCAGAGAGTCTAGTACAGTACACCTGTCCAGGGACTGCAGATGAAAAATATTCTACTTTACCAATTCTGGTGCATTTACGGAAACGTCCAATAAACTAATAAAATAGTGGCTCAGTTGGTAGATAGTTGTGAAGCCCACGCTGAAAATACAACGCTCTCCCCTGGGGATGGTGCTCTGTGAATTGGACGACAACTGACTGCCACCCCTGACCCAGAAATGGACAAAGTGGAAGCAAACGGATGGATGGATTGGAAATACAAAAAAATGTGCGGTTTCTGTTATGAAGCTTGGATATTGTTCAAAGAGCTCGAGGAAAATATGAGGGAAACCTGTGCTTAAAAAGACTGGACTAAGCTCCTATTAGCTTAATGTTGACATTTGTAGTGATCATTGTATTTCTGAGACTGTCTCAAAGCTCTAACCACAGGGATAACCAGATTTATAAAGCCAGTAGACGAGTTGCTACAAAAGAAACGATATAATCTAAATAAATGCAGTCTTTCTGATTGGTTATAGCCTCGTCGTACCCCACAAACAAATTACATTTCGTACTAAGGTCCGGAGGTGCTCCATTGAGCTCCGTTAACAGGTGGGAGGGATTAACTCCTTTTGCAGATTGAAGTAATTGGATCCGAGTTTGCGAGTCGCTAGCATTTAGCCAAGCTTTAGCCATCTCCTTTGCAGCTAATGGAGCCCGTGGGGAGAAGTGCCAAAATGTTTGCCAGCGATTACATTTACTAAACATACCTCTGGCTTCAATTTCATGATAGAACCAGACCGGATTACTTTACTATCGCATTCTTCGCCATTGCCAAACTACAACCTGCCCGTTCAGCGCAAACTCTTGACATCACCCACATCTAACTACAACACCCGCCTCCCGCACTCACTGATTGGTCAGATGGAAATTAACCGATGTATTTGCAGACACAGGGACCAGACACAGACGTTACATGCAGTGAAATGATGATTGAGCGGAGCGTACGGATGGCTATGGCCAGGCTACATTTGCTACTTGCAGTCACTAAAATTTCAATTTGACCGATCACTCTTGTAAATCTATTGCAAAGTCCATGAATAATAATGACAGGTTTATTGATATAAACCTGTGGCAAACAATCTTTTCTGTCTGGTGCACACAGGGGTAGTCTTTCACAGTTTTTCCAATGTAGTTTTATTGCAAAGGGCAAATAAATCGTTGTATCTTGTTGTATAAAGTGCTGTGTGTGTTTTGAGCGCACTTGTCCGTGGATGGGGTCGTCGCTGCCCTCCTGCTCCGACGAGTAGCTCTCCTCTTCTTCCTCCGAGTAGTTGTCGATGTCAGGGGAACGATCTGGAAAACCCCAGCAAAACGTTGAGCAAAGACATGTTTTAATGTGTGCCCAATATGGAGGGAGGAGATTCGTTTGTAATTCTTTTGGCCATTGTGAATGATACTCACTCATCGTCAGTGGTTGTGTGAAAGTAAAAGAAGCTATTGAATGAAACGTTTTCTATTTTCAAGGATTACGTCATTGAGGCAATCAGGTTTCATAAAGAAGTTGGAAGTAGATCATTTTTAGACAAGTCTGATTGGCACAGGTTACCAACATCCGTATGATCCTTAACCTTATTTTCAGTTTCAAAATCAGAATTCTCTAGATACCTTACAGCTGCTTGCTCACGTTTCTAGCAGCGTAGAGTTTTTCATAATTTTTCTTAGGCTTATAATTAGACAAAGTTTGAAATTAGCCATATCTCCAAGTAGCTAGCCGATAATGTAACTTTTTCTAAAGTCCATTTTAGAGTTGTATTATACTACCTGAATATTATAACCTAGCTGAATGCAACTAAGGCATATATGTTATAAGTACCAAATATGTTATAATTTTGAAAAGAAGCCACGGTTGATTTAGTTATTGCTAAAGGAGTCATTAATGTAACTATAGCAACAGTTCTATTAACTTCTTTCATCCCTAAAAGATTTCATTAACCATGCTATTGATATTTTGGAATGTTACACAAGCTGATTATAATAGCAGTCAAGGCAGGCACAGAAGCAAGTGTTAAAACTAAGCTGCAGTTTATATTGTAAAAGATTTGTAATTCTAATGTATGTATGTACCAAAAAAGAGAAATAAAAACTTGTACAAAATGTGAGCGACGCCAGAGAGAGGAGCACAGACCTGACATCTTGGCTTTGGGCCCCTCGTGGTCGATGGGCTGACTGGACAAAGAATACACTCGGATCTCGGCCACTGGGACAGAGGCGTCTTTGAGCTGACTGTGCAGTCCCAGGATCTGTGCACCTTCACTGGGGTGCTGCATCACCTGCAACAGACACATCATCATCATCATCATCACATTTAGTCTGTTTTTAGAGTCATTGACAATAGATTATCATTTTGGATTCCTATTTTTGTATGATGTAACACAATGTAACAGAAATATGTGGTGGTTTTCAATCTGCAATAAAACACATAATCAGTGTATATATGCACATCATTTTCGAAAGGGTCCCAAGAACATAAAACAAACAATAAATGATACATAACATTTACATAACATTATCCCTAAAACCTTCAAACCAGGTCAGAAATCTAGGGTAATACTGGACTCAGACTTAAATTTTAATAGCCACATCAAATCAGTAACATCAGCAGCTTTTTACCATCTAAAAAACATTGCCAGGGTCAAAAACATAGTGTCTAAAGCAGACTTGGAGATTCTTATCCATGCATTTGTCTCCAGTAGGTTAGACTACTGCAATGGCCTGCTCACAGGTCTGTCCAAACAGGCTGTAAAACAGCTGCAGTACATTCAAAATGCAGCTCGAGTCCTGACTAGAACCAGGAAGTACGACCACATTAGTCCAGTTCTCAGGTCTCTGCACTGGCTTCCTGTGGCTCAGAGAATAGATTTTAAAACAGTTCTGCTTGTGTACAAGTCTCTCCATGGCCTCGCACCAAAATATATTAGTGACATGTTAGTCCCTTATGAACCAGCCCGGACTCTGAGGAGCACAGGGACTGGACTCCTGTTAGTGCCCAGAGTCAGAACTAAACATGGGGAGGCTGCTTTTCAGATTCATGCTGCTAAAATCTGGAACATTCTTCCTGAAGATGTGAGACAGGCCTCCTCTCTGACAATGTTTAAAACCAGGTTAAAAACAGTTCTGTTTAGCTGTGTATACAACTGAGGGACTTTCTTTTTAATGTACTGTGATTATTTATGATTTTATTTTGTTCAGCCCTTTGAGTTGCCTTGTGTATGAATTGTGCTATACAAATAAACTTGCCTTTCCTTGCCATTACAAAAACATTTACATAACATTACAAACAGTGAGAATAACATTATAATGATATTTGTTTGGACTTTTTATTATAACGATAATTATTGTAATATTGTGTTAATTCATTTTTACCATGTTGCAACTTTGTTCCCTCATCAAAAACAGACCTGGGGGAGTGTCTCAGTCCTGTAAGAGTATCATGTCCGATCACAAGTGCTTCCCATAAATTAGTTTTAGTCATTTCTCAGGACGTATGACATTCTTTACAATCACATGGCTGTGTTTTAGGCCAATAATTTAAAAAACAAAACAAATACAACTTTTTTTACACTTCACTTCTGTTTCACCATAGTAAATACACAGGTGAAACTCTGAAAGAGGATTTTTATTTGTATTTTTATTTGGGGGGTGACAGTGGCTCAGTTGGTAGAGCCTTTGAGCCTAAAGGTTGTGGGTTCAAGCCCACCATGAGACCTACTTCATGACTTCCACTGATGTCTGCTGGCATTGTGTCCTTGGGCAAGACACTTAACCCCACTTTGCCTGAAGCCCCCGCTGAAATATCAAGGCCCCTGTGGACTCACCACCTGCAGGAGAATCAGTGAGGGGCTGGTGCTCTGTGTGCTGGGTGCAGCTCTGACTCTTACCCCCTTGACCCAGAAATGGATTAAGGGGAAGAAGATGGGATGGATATATTATTAGTAATATTATTAGTATTATTGTTATTATTTGTATTATTATTATTATTATTTGTATTATTATTATTAGTAACTCTAGTGTAGGGCAACAGTAGCTCAGTTGGTAGAGCATTGGCCTTTGAGCCAGAGGGTCGTGGGTTCGAGCCCACTTTCACCATCGACTCCCACCGATATCTGCTGTCGTTGTGTCCTTGGGCAAGACACTTAACCTCTGGGAACACCAGCCACAGTGGGGCGGCTGCGGCTATAAAGTGCCAAACTGCTGTTGTGTCCTTAGGCAAGACACTTCACCCCCATTGCCTAGAATAAGTCTGGTGTGTGTGAATGGTTGGTGGTGGCATACTGGTTGCCTCGCTTCTGTCAGTGTGCCCCAGGGAAGCTGTGGCTACAGTAGTAGTTTATCACCACCGTGTATGGAGTGAAAGAATATTGACATGTAAAGTGTCTTTGAGTGTCCAAAAAAGCGCTTTATAAAACCAAGGCATTATTATTATTAGTGTCTTCCTCCAAACACGTTGATGCTTTGTTGTTGATTTAAGAATATAAGAGCCCACTGCTGAAAACTCAACAAACACATAAAAAACATCGAGAGGAGAGACACGGAGTCAGGAGTTCAAAGATGATTATGACACTGAAGCAACTCAAGCCGTGCAGAGAATCGCATTAATGAAAGATGAGGCTGACGCAGATTCAGACAGATCACTGAACAAAACAAGAGTCAAATGAGCTGCAACGTGAGCCACATGCCGAAAAAGAGACAGAAGAATAAACAAACAGTATTTTACAAGGTACGCTCTGACAGACTGAAGCCTATCATAGCACAAATACTCCTGGTTCTGTCAGATGTATCCACATTTTAGATGTATATTCACTTACACAAAGATTACTTATACTTACTACCCACAATATAGTCTGCTGGAGTGTGCTTTGCCAGAAAAAAGTATGTACTGTACTATTATCTATGACTAGTTTTCATTACAGGGTGTAAGTGGGTGAGTATTTGTAAAGTATTTATAAAGTATTTGTGGTGAATGCATCGATTTCCCCTGTGTTCATATCCTGTATAGGGTTTTGTAGGAGATATTTTAATGTTAGCAATTGAATACTTAACTCCACAATTGAAAGCTGAGGCACGCAACTGCTTTTCCAACAGAAAGTAGAATGTTCAGACCATAACAAGCCATCTCAGTCTTATTAAAAGAAACATTGTAATCTTTTGCTTATATAGCCTTTTGCTCTTTTCCGGTAGAGGACTATGGAGGACCAAAACTGTCAAAATTATAAATAAATGAATAAATAAATAAATGTCACATTCTGCCAATAATTATTAAGATAACACAACAAATCATGCGATTTAATAAATACATATTATTATACAACGTTTTTTGGTTTCAAACTAAATAATACATCTTTATTATTTTTCTGTTCGTTCAAAGGTCAAGATTAAAATAAATATATTTTTATAATTTAACTGCCGTTTTGTGCCCAAAGAGATAATAAAATCTCATTTTTTTCTTTCCCCATGTATTTATTTTCTTCATCTTTTTTTTAAAATTGATGTTCTGTTTTATTATTTCACGACACATTCTTTCCTCGTGTCTTGATAATAAAATGCAAATGAAGGGGGCGGGCCACAGACAGCAAGACGAAAGCAATCGCCTCTTGCAGACTGACCAGGCCAAACCGTGCTAAACAGTGCTGCCATTATAGCAGTGCCATCTAGCTGCGTGAAGCTGTTTGTCCCGTGGCTGTCATGGAATTGTCTTTTATAATGCCTGGAAGAGCGTGTTGTGTGTTCGGCTGTGCAAGCCTGCAACAGAACCGTGTGTGAACTTCTTAAACCTTTACAACATACTGACCATACTGACTTCCCCCATACGGATTGCAGAAAGCTCCTGGTCCAGCTCAGGAACAAGATGTGTGTCTGAAGTGGATGAAAAATATAAACCTAGATGGCTTTAAGCCAAACAAGAAAGCAGTGGTAAGTTTAGCTTTGATTATTACATCTGAGAAAACCACTGGTTGCTGTCTATAAATGACATGAGTGTAAAAAGTAACTGCTATATTTTCTAGCCTCGTTAGCCTGTTAGCCTCGTTAGCTTGTTAGCCTCGTTAGCTTGTTAGCCTCGTTAGCCTGTTAGCCAGATACAAAAGCTCTGACATTGCTCTTGACAGGACCTGTAATGCACTTTCTGTATATGTGCGTTCACTTCATGTTAGTTCTTGTTTACATTGGATTACACGTTTGCTAAAAAAGTAATTTGCAAAGTGGAGCTTGTGAGACTCGTTCTGGAATTTGCCAGATTATTACAAGTTAGATAACTGTTAATAGTAATGCACAGTAATGCTTTTAGATAAGCATTTACACACATACAATAATAGCGCATTCGTTATATGAACGTTATATGAATTTTCAATAATCAATTAATTAATTACGTGGGGGTCACGAGTTGACAGTTCTGGGTTCAAATCCCACATCATCCTTATTAAGTATAATAAAAACCTTAAGATAAAACTTAAATGTTAAAACTACATTACTAATGTATTTTTCATCAATTCCAGGTATGTGGGAAACATTTTCCTGATGGGCAACCCACATGAGAAAATTTCCGTCCTGTGTTACTTATGGTTTATGATTGTTGTGTAAGTATGATATTTTTAATATCCTTCATTGTTTTGTTTAACTAATATACAGCTCATTTTTTCTGTTAGGTAACACCTGCTAGACCCCCCCAAAAGAGATGTGTTTAGGCTGTACACCAGAACTCAACTACTGAACGTGAACCTGGAGAAGATGAAGATAATTTGGAGAAAATCCCTCTACTGACGTGTGATGTTGGAGTCCAGTGGCCAGATCACAACTAGTTTCAGCAGTAATGTTAAGATGAAGGAGCATTTAGATAAGAAAGACTTTGTTTTACACAAGTGTATGTGCTGACACTTTCTGGGAACTTTTGAGAGTCCTGCTGACTTTTTGCCACAATCACTTAATATAAAATTGTAACTGCGTATTTTCTACTGTCTCTGGGGCTACATTGTCACAACTAGACCTCTAATGGCAGTATCATGTAAACATGGCTCTAACACGGTCAACGACTCAACTCATACTGCTCAATTGACGCATATTTATCTTATTTAAGCCCGACATTTAACTGTCATACAGTGTCCTGTCATTACCTGCCTTAGTCAGTTTTGGCCAGTACCTGACATCATCTACTACCGGCAGATTTTACCACTAGGTAAAATCCTCCAGCTCCGGTGGTCCTGACCAAGCCGAGCATCAACATCTCAAGATGGATTCCCGGGCGCTGTTACTACGGCGACCACTGCTCCTGACGTAA